ACTGCTGGAATAAATGGTAGTTCTATTTTTAGTTCTTGGAGAAATCTCCAGACAAGTTTCCACAATGACTAAACTAATTTACATTCACACCAATAGAGCATAAACATCCTGTTTTCTCCATAGCCTAGCCAGCATCTGTTATTTATTGACTTTTTAGTAATAGCCATTTTGACTGATGTGAGATGGTATCTCATTGTGGTTTTGATTTACAGTTCTCTGATTCAGTAATGTGGAACATCTTCTCAAATGTTTGCTGGCTGCTTCTATGTCTTCTTTTGAGAAGTGCCTGTTCATGTCCTTTGCCCACGTTTTAATCGGATTGTTTCTTGCTTGTTGCACTGTTTAAGTACCTTATTGATTTTTGATATTAGACCTTTGTCAGATGCACAGTTTGCAAATATTTTCTCACATCCTCTAGGTTGTGTGTTAATTCTGTTGATAGTTTCTTTTGCTGTGCAGAAACTATTTTAATTAATTAGTTGAATTCAGTTTGGTCCCACTTGTCAATTTTGGTTTCTGTTGCAATTGCTTTTGAGGACCTACTGATGAATTATTTGCTGAGGCCACTGTCCAGTATGGTATATCCTAGGTTTTCTTCTAGGATTTTTTTAGGTTGAGGTTTTATATTAAACTTTAATCCATCTTGAGTTCATTTTTGTTTATGGTACAAGGTAGGGGTCCAGCTTCATTCTTCTGCATGTGGCTAGCCAGTTATCCCAGAATCATTATTGAATAAGGGATCCTTTCTCCATTGCTTACTTTTGTTGACTCTGCCGAAGATCATATGCTTATAGGTGTGCAGTTTTATTTTTGAGCTCTCAATTCGGTTTCATTGGTTTATGTTTCCGTTTTTGTAATGTGTACTAAAATGGCTTTTTAATATGTACTAAAATGGTCCAGGACCATTTGTGTGCAATGTGTATGCCCAGAGGTACCAGTAAAAACCCTGCCGTGGCTTCTGTTTCAGTTTGCAAAAACTGACACTGTCTCTACTTCTTACCAAAGCTCTCTTAAGTTTTCCTGTGCCTTTTCCTCCAGCCCTTACTGTAAGTCCTTTGTGCCAGATCTCTCTTGATGATGCAGATACATCTGGGGAAGCCCATTTCTGACTCCACTTTAACAGGTGTAAGTTAGAATGCTTTTACCTGCACATAAAATACCTGAAATATTATCCAACTTGATTTTCAAAGAATGGAGTTTGTAAAGATATACACCTTTTAGTCCACATTGGCTTGTCTTAGTTATTAAACAGAATCAAAACATCCCATTCTTCTTTTTCTTTTTTTCTGAGACAGAGTCTCACACTCTCTCCTGGGCTGGTGTGCAGTGGTGCAATCTCTGCTCACTGCAACCTCCACCTCCTGGGTTCAAGCAATTCTCCTGCCTCAGCCTCCTGAGGAGCTGGGATTACAGGCACCCACCACCATGCCCAGCTAATTTTATGTATTTTTAGTAGAGACGGGGTTTTGCTATGTTGGCCAGGCTGTTCTCAAACTCCTGATCTCGGGATCCTCCACCTCAGCCTCCCAAAGTGCTGGGATTACAGGCATGAGCCCCCACCCCCGGCCAACATTCCGTTTTTCTCTAAAACCAACATAACAATGAAAACACGGTTTTTCATATCAACTGACCTATAGAGGCTTATGTTCAGCAGAACCTGCTTGGTTAGTTCAAACTGGTAATGGAAACAGGGTAGGATGCTAAGAAAGTAAAATAAACTCTTCTTTGACCTTCTTTATGCGACAAAGTCCCTCTGCCCCGAAGTTGTCCTAGAAAAGACAGCCTAGGTAGTTACTAAGCTTTGGGCCTCACAGCCCAAGTACATCACGTGATCAGTATCCTCTTTAAAAGCCAGGGGTGAGGTTTTATCAAAAAATATTCTTTAAACAAATGGCAGGAAATGCAAAATTGGATAATTCATATTGCTGCTACAATTTATTTGCACCTAAAAAGAAAAATCATAGAAAATGAAGCATAGTTGCCTACAGGAGGTGTACAGTGTCTGAGATTATTGTTGTTCTCTTCCTCCCATTTTTTCCCCATATCCTCTTAATAGAATAATTATTTTACTCCTTACTTGTATGTAATTCAGGCAAGCTAAGCACAACCAATATGTTTCTTCAGAGGAAAAAAGACTAAACATAATAATTAAAGAGTAAGTTAGTTACATAAGTAACAAGTAGTCCAGGTGTGGGGAGAAAGTGTAAGGTCTGATCCCCTTGGAAATGGACACCAGGGGGTGGTAACGTGTGTGGGAAGAAGAGTGATTCCATCTCACATGCTAATCCACCACGTTGACTCCTGACTAACAGAGTCCGGGAATGCCTCCAACATGTCTAGCTGATGATTTACTCTCTATGTAGAAACACCTATTTACTCTGAGTTTCACCTTTCCTCCAAAACAACCCTTGATATTGTTGCATACATCACCTGTGGCTGTGACACCCATAGCATTCTCTCAGCCACCTACTCCTTCCTTCCAGAGCAAATGTGTTTTCCCCAGGACCTATAAACCCTGAGTCTGGAAGGCTGTAGTGTGAAAGCCTACCTTTCTTTTGGTCACTCAAGACCACGCTTGTGTCTATAAGTTCCCCCATAAATCAGCCTTTGCCAACAAACTGGATTTTTCTGCTCTGTTCTTTGGTTTCTTGGCTCCTTCTGCATTTGGTGGACACTTTGCATATGTGGCCCTTTCAGGGAACAGTGGAAAACTTATAACATTCAGCATTTTGGGATGGTCTACTTTAAGAGATGTTCTGTAAATGATTTGCTGTGTAGGTCATGACATTTCCTCAGGCTCACCATCAAAACATCAATCTATATAAAATGATAAAACATGAGCTTTAAATGTGAGGACTCTAACATATTTGTGAAAGACACAACAGATGGGCAGAAAACACTGAGAATAGGAATTTGCTTTTCTTTTTTAAATTTTTTTAGATTGAGTCTCGCTCTGTCCCCCAGGCTGGAGTGCAGTGGTGTGATCTTGGTTCACTGCAACCTCCACCTCCCAGGTTCAAGCCATTCTCCTGCCTCATCCTCCTGGGTAAGCTGAGATTACAGGAGTGTGCTACCATGCCTGGCTAATTTTTGTATTTTTAGTAGAGACGGGGTTTTGCTGGACTCAAACTCCTGACCTGAGGTAATCTGTCCGTCTCAGCCTCTCTAAGTACACTGGGATTACAGGTGTGAGCCACCATGCTTGGCTGGGAATTTGCTTTTCAACAGGGAAAAGAGGCAGTGTATCTGCCAGGCAATAATCATGATGAGCACAAAACACTAATTCCAATGTAGTGAGTATGTGAGAGGACTAATACTAGTTTCCTTAGGTGTATTAATTTGAATTATTTTAACAACTTTAGAAAGTCAGTATTATTATTTCTGTTTGAAGAGTGAGCAAACTGAGGCTCGGAGATGTTGCATGCCTTGCCCAAAGTCACACAGTTGGTATGCGGTTACGACAGTGTTTGTGGTCGGGTCTGTCTAACTCCAATGCCTGGGTTTTGCTCCACAAGCTCCCTCTTAGCTGTTCCAGTGTTCCTACCCTAGAATTCTTTAGTGAGAAGTCTAAAGAATTCTAGACTAGAGTGAGTATATTCTTTAGTGAGATGGTCTCCAGGCATTATCCTAGGTTGAATAAAGTGCTCCAGAACATTCTCCAACTCAGATCTACAAATCAGTAGTTGTTTTTTTTTAAATAACGCCTTTCTCCAAGGACCTCAGCTTTGAGGAGTGTGTGCCCTGGACGAAGAAACTGGCATTTTCACCCCTGGAAAGAAATACTTTTGTCTCCATGTTAGGTTTTCAGTACTGGTTTTTAGATTTTTTTCATGAGTTATGTTAGTAGTTTTGACTCTTTTGACCGGCCATTCTTGGACGATGTACTAAATTCAGGTTTCTGAAATGACACACATGAGAGATAGCTTGATTGATTTTCTGTGAATTTTCTTATGTTTTCTTCTTACAAAGAAGTCTCTCCATGAGCAATATCAAAGAAAGCCAGGCTGCTGTAAAGCTTCTCTCCGCTTTTGTGTGTTACGCCAGCTCCTCTGCCTCAAACACTTGCCCTGCCTTCTCAACTGAAAAATCATTCCTCTTAAAATCTAGCTCAAATGCTACCGATTCTTTTGCAAAATCATTCTGGAAGCCCCCAGAGAACGTCAACTTCTCATTCTTTTAAACATTCTTATAATTTTGCCTATGCCACCCTCCAACTCACTTAACAGTCTATGGTAACTCCTTCTGTATAATTCTGCTTTCCCATCTAGCCTATGAGCTACTCAACAGTGTCGATGAACTCAGTCACCTTTGCGAACCCACCAATTGCACCTGGCATAGGAAGAGAAATGCTCAATAAACACTGGTAGAAATGACATTTAAAAACCATGCAATCTTGTCTTTGAAAACTGTAGCACTCGGGAAGATCTAAGATGAGTACTTAATAGGGGCTTTTTTTTCTCCTTGAAGAGCTTGACTGAAATAATGGTTACTGAACCAAGTTTCTTCTGAGTTCACTGAACTTGATTTATTAGCATTGAATTTCCTCTTTTAGCTTTTAAATTTTCATTTTTGCTTGTAATTGGCCTCTTCGTGTTTATCATAACCCTCCACTTATCAATATCATAGGATGCTTCATAGAACAGTGAGAAAAGTGGACCCTTGGGAAGCCAAGGGACCTACCAGAAATCACACAGCTAAGTGGGAGAACTGAACCAGAACTCTGGTTCCATGGGCCTCTTTTTTGTTCTTTCTAGTAGGCCAGGTTGCTATGAAAAAATAATTAACAACCCCTTTAAGCTTCTTTATAGCTCTTTAACCTATTCAGATGGTTTTCTTTAATAGTTGCAGAGGGCACCACACCACAGAAAAAGTTGTCATGAGATTTAGTGACTTTCCAAACAAAACCACTTATAAATTCAACATGAGACATAGTGGTCCCATCCTGAAGAATTGTGCTTTCTTTTTCTCAATGAAAAAAGCAATAAAATGCAAGTACACACCATCTGGACACAGAGGCTGCCAATAATAAAATGAGGAGAGATGGCACTGACCATAATCTGTGTTTTCCGGCTCCCAACAATTTGATGGCCAAAAATAGGGTGTCTGTGGAATGAAAAGAAGTGGAACCAGGTTAGACAAAGAAAAAATTAGTGGAGTTTCTGGCTTGCAAACTGCATTTACCTTCCACAATTCTCTATATTTGTTTGCTATGTGTTTGCTAATACAGAACATGTTCCAAGAGACACAGTGTAAACTCTTTGTCTACGTTTACTTTCCTGACCAATTGCTCAGCTTCTAAATATGTGTAGTACCAGCAAGCAGGTATTTCAAATGTCATTCATTTGGTGTAATTTTATACCAACTGACATAAAGGTAAATGGTCTGATTGTATTATTCAAACAAAAAGTATTCATCCACAGAGAGGACTGAAAGAGAATTATGTTCAGCAAGACTCAGGATGAAATGTATTTAAATATAACAAATTGTTTTCTATAAATCATGTATCTCGACACTATTTTTGGTAGCTCGAAAAAGCCCAACCAACCAACAAACTCTTTCTCTGAGATCTGACAATCATTTACCTGGCTCCATTAGTCATACAATGCAGTTCTCAGCATTGTCCAATGAGATGAAAACAACTTTTTACTCTCACTTTTAAAGACATTTCCCAAATTTTCTTTGTAATTAATTTCTACAATTACAATTGTAGTAATTACTAAATTACAATTTGGTAATACAACAGGGTGATTAGGGTCAATAGTAACAATTATAAATTTAAAAATAACTAAGAGTGTAACTGCATTGTTATAGCACAAAGGGTAAATGCTTGGGGGAATGGATACGTCATTCTCCATGATGTGATCACTTCAGATTGCATGCTTGTATCAGAATACCCCACGTATTCCATATATTCCATAAATATATATGACTTTTCTAGTCCTGCAAGCTGAACACGCTTGGCTCCTGACCATGAGGAAACCTGATGCACCTGTCTCCTCATCAACCCCTATTCCCTGGAAGGACGAGAACTGCAGGACTCACTGTAACAGTGATGGCAAATATTGGTACTGTGGGCTTAATTCTATCTGTCAGCTAATTATATTAAGTAGCCATGTGCAATGAGCATATTTGAAGTAATCTCTGAGCACCTGATAATGTTCCCCTCTAGAAGAGACTCTAAAGGAGAGAAAATGGGTAAATGGGAAAAACTGTTTGAATCTCTACAGAAAAGTCTCTCCAAACTAAGATGCCCCCGTCACCACCATCACCCAGGGATTCTGACTTACCCTTCGTTTTTTCTTGGAAATTATAGTAGTAAACTACTAATAGCAGTTTTGTGAACATGAGAACAAAATCACTGTAGGAATTTTGAAGAAAGAAAAAAGACTGAACCACTAGTCAAAGGAGAATAGCAAGACATTATATGGGTCACCCTCGTAACCCGAATCTCACTTGACTCCATGGGAGATGAAGCTTTGAGAATTTGATTTCTTCAAAATAAAATTGAATCCGGATTCTAGGGGAGCCCTAGGGGGACAAAGTAATTCAAACTTTGCTTTCACGTAGGGTGTTGCTTTTTGAGATGCTTCTTATGGAGTGCACAATTCCCCTTCTGTTGTTTCTATATTTTGGGGAGCATGTATGTATATGTACAGGCATATCTATTTAACCTTAAAACATCTATTCTAGTTAGACCAGTCAGACATATACTTTTTTCCTCAAAAGCACAAAAAATATTCTCAGATGCATTCTTATATTTTTCTTCATTCTTCATCATTTATTTCAGAGAGAATTTAATGACTGTAAAATTAAAGAATAAAGCATTTTTTCCTTGTGATATTATATGGAAATGGCACTAAGCTAACATTCTTCGCCAATATTGGAAGACTTTTTCTAAGAAGTAATGTTTTGATTTGTAGTGAAAGATAATATAAGAGAATAACAAACTCTTACACTTCTTTGGAATTTAAATACATATTTTATAGTTCTCTCTATATTAGGACATTTTAATGCATGAGTTTCTTGGCTTTTCAATATTGACTTCCTTAGCTAGGATGAAACTCATCCGAAACTGTTCAACTGTTGCTCAATAACTGTTGGAGCATATGCTAATGCATTGGGAGTCATGAAAGAGAGCTACAGAATCACAGCAGATCTCAATTTCAATTAGCTAAGAGAGGATGATTAGACGATTGTGACTTTATGGTAAACTGTAAGAATCACAATTAAGACATGTACTACAAATTTGAGACAAATATACAAACTGCCATGCCAATGAAATCAAGATTTCTGTTTGTCTCAAATTTATGCTTTGAAGACTCTTAAGACTTTTTTTTTTTTTTTAACTGAGTCTCGCTCTGTCACCAGGCTGGAGTGCAGTGTCGCAATCTCGGCTCACTGAAACCTCCGTCTCCCAGGTTCAAGTGACTCTTCTGCCCCAGCCTCCAGAGTAGCTGGGACTATAGGTGCATACCACCATGCCCAGCCATGTTGGCCAGGATGGTTTCGATCTCTTGAACTAGTGATCCACCTGTCTCGACCTCCCCCAGTGCTGGGATTACAGGTGTGAGCCACCTTGCCCAGCCTAAATTCATAATGATCTTTAGACTCCCAACCATTCACTGGAGGATTTGTAAACATGGTATCCCAAGTTTTCTATTTTAATTTATGATCCTAAAATATCCTTTCAAGGAGTTGAATTTCACTTCAGTGTAATAAAGAACTTTCACTGCTTGGAACCAACATAATAGAAGTGAACACCTTGAATGATACTGGGTTTTCTATTATTAGAGCTCTTCAAAAATGGACTGGCTAATGCCTTGATAGACATTATAGTAGAAATTCAGTTACTTTGGACTTTTCTGGTGTTTTAAAGAATCTTGGTTTCAGAATTCTAATATTATTAGATTTACAAATGTGTTCTATTTAGACACTATTTCAAATATGGGTGCATCATGAAAATATGTAACATTTGATATATTTATCATTAATGTAATTTTAATGCGCATATGTATCATGTTTATATCTGCCTATCTATCTCAGCACACTGAACCTGATAACTCTGTCTATCCCTGGTAGTTATGTAAGTTCATGAGTCATTTGTACTCATTCCCTTGCATTGTTCTAAAGCTTTTAAAAAATTCTCTCCTTTTCTCCTGTGTGTATGGTGATCCCTTCCTTCATATGGCTTTTTTTTTTTCCTGAGACAGAGTCTTGCTCTGCCACCTAGGCTGGAGTGCAGTGGCACAATCTCCCCTCACTGCAACCTCTGCCTCCCAGGTTCAAGGTCTTCTCTTGCCTCAACCTCTTGAGTAGCTGAGATTATAGGCACATATCACTAGGTCCAGCTAATTTTTTTGTGTGTTCTTTTTTTTTAGTAGAAATGGGGTTTCACCATGTTGGCCAGGTTGGACTCGAACTCCTAACTTCAAGTGATCAGCCCACCTTAACCTCCCAAAGTGCTGGGATTACAGGCATAAGCCACTGTGCCCAGCCTCATGTGGCATTTCAGACCCATGAGCATGAATAAGACATTTAAACCTAGTCTGTCTTCTACCTTTTTTTCTGGGAATAGAGATTTCTTTCAAATATCAGAAAGCATTAGTCACATATAAACAATTTATTTGCTAATCACTAATAATTCCTAGTTATTAAAAATTTAACCTTGGGACCACAGGTTACTTTAATAATATGCTCTTTTAAGCTACCATTAGTTTAAGTTTAGCTGTTTAAAGAATACGGCTCCATTAATGTAAAGATTTTGTGAGTTAAGTGATTTAACTACATGCTTGAATACTTAAGTCAGTATCACTGTTTCCGGAGACAGATTTATTTCCTCCTAGCTCTTAAGTGCAAAACTGTCCTGTGATTATTTGCCTTGGGGGAAATGAGTCCTAAGGAAGGGGCAGTGAGACTGTTCTACGAGGACAATAATCTTTGAGACGATTTTTTAAAGCAAATGATTAAAATAATTCCTCTTTGTTCTCGGTTTTCCCAAACAAATCTTAGGCACTCCGGTTACTATTCAGTCATTTACGTAGATATAGATCATTTAATAATACTTAGAACAAGTGAGAAGAAGGCTCCAAAGTCTGAAAGGTGGACCACAGAGAGAACCCCCAGTCCATGGACCATGAAGAGAACCCTCCATGTTGGAAATAGGTTAGATTGACATTCAGCATTTTATGTGCCTTAATTTTGCAGGCTAGAATCTGCTAGTCAGTTATTAATGAGCCATAATGACTACTGAAATGTAGAGTACACTTTAGGTAAATCAACGTGAACTCAAGTGTCAAATACACTTATGATGACTGAAATTAGAGTCCACAATCATTACCTGAAAGAATGATAGCATCTGTGTCATTTGCAAATGACCTAGAATGACTCTTACCAGTTTGCAAGTTATCTGAGGTATCCTGTTGCAGCTGAGTGCACACACACACTATATACCATCATGTCAGTCTCCACAGACTTGTAGAAGAGCCTTGGATGCTGAAAGTTTGTATGATCAGCTGAATGGGAGCGTCAAGCATTCCCATGAAAAGTTACTTGGGATGCAGATGGTCTGTATCACAGGCAAGGGTCAGACTATAAGCCATTGACTTACACTTCTCCACTTCCTTTATCTTTTCTTTTCTTTTTGAGAAGGAGTCTCCCACTGTCTCCCGGGCTGGAGTGCAATGGTGTGACCTTGGCTCACTGCAATCTCCCCACACTGGGTTCAAGTGATTGTTCTGCCTTAGGCTCCTGAGTAGCTGGGATTACAGGCAGCCTCCACCAAATCCAGCTACTTTTTCGTATTTTTAGTAGAGACCGGGTTTCGCCATGTTGGCCGGGCTGGTCTCAAACTCCTGATCTTGTGATCCACCCACCTTGGCCTCCCAAAGTGCTGGGATTACAGGCGTGAGCCACTGCACCTGGCCCCTTTCTAGTAACGTAATGCAACTTACAGAGGAAGACTCTCTGGTCTTCCCAAATGCCATTAAGTCATTTTCTGAATTTCCCTTAAGCTTTTCATATAAAACAGAATTTCCATCATCACACATCATCGTGACTAAGCATACTTCATTTTTCTCTGTTTATTGCTTTTTATGTCCCTAGTTGAACATTAATCAGTTTCTAACTAGCCTAAGTCAAAGTAAAATAGGTCATAGTTTTTAAAAGTTCTGTCAAAAAGAAACCTAACTAGCAAACCAAATGCAGGCCTCTAGTTGACTGTTCAAGAACATTCCTGTTAAACTTACTTGAAACCGGTAAAAGGTGCCATCATCCTTGAGTGTGAGGACGTGATCTGAGATTGGGAAGAAGTAACCATGGGCAGCCATTAATGTTCCCAAATGGAGCGCCTCCACTGTTTCATGGAAACAAACAAAGAACATATAAAAAGCCTTTTACATTTATTCATTTATAAGAATGTAACATTATGTGTGGTTCCTTTAGACCGCATTCTTGGCTTCACTTCGGTGTAATAAAGAACTTTCGCTGCTTGGAACCAACATAAAAATAGAAGTGAACCCCTTGAATAGTGTGTTTTCTATTATTAGAGCTCTTCAAATATGGACTGGCTAATGCCCTGGTAGACATTATAGTAGAAATTCAGGTACCTCTGAGTTTTCTGGTGTTTTAAAAAATCTTGGTTTCAGAATTCTAATATTATTAGATTTACGCATGTGTTATATTTAAACACTATTTTAAATATGGATGCATCTAAAAACCTGGCTTTGTGCTTTTCCTTCTTTTTTTCAGCTCTTTCACACAAGATACTAAGATGGTTCTAATTCCTGGTAACAGCTGCCATGACCAATGTCATTCCATGACAACCAGCCCATGAGAAGATAAAGTAAAGAAACGTTAAAATGGGAAGGCTCTTCCTAATCTGTAGAATCTGTCTCCCTCATTGTGATGACACGTGTTGGCTCTGTATTTAGGCATTTATACTGCACTTTAAACTTTTTAAAAAAAGTTTTCACGGCTGGGCACGGTGGCTCACACCTGTAATACCAGCATTTTGGGAGGCCGAGGTGGGCGGATCACAACGTCAGGAGTTCAAGACCAGCCTGGCCAACATGGTGAAACTCCAACTATACTAAGGACAAAAAAAAAAAAATTTATCTGGGCTTAGTGGCACATGCCTGTAATCCCAGCTACTTGGAAGGCTGAGGCAGGAGAATTGCTTGAACCTGGAAGGTAGAGGTTGCAGTCAGCCAAGATCGCACAATGCACTCCAGCCTGGACAACAGGGAGAGACTCCGTCTCAAAAAAAAAAAAAAGTTTCCACTTGTATCACCTCCTTCTCCATATCATAGCTATATAGTACCATCAGTAATGTTTCTAGTGATACAGATCATTATTTTGTGATGCTAACAGGAAATGTTAAGACATCAGTGATGGGCCATGTATGCTGCACTACTGAATCTACGACTGGTGATTGTAAAGATTGCTCTAGCTTTTACTATTCTATACAGGGTTCTAAGTATGGAGTAGAAGTGATTTATTTGACAATGGAAACATTGTAGTCTGAAAGGAAGGCTGTAATACTCTATACAGTGTTCCAAATATGGGGTAGGAAGAGATTTATTTGACAATGGAAACAAAGTCTGAAAGTAAGGCTGTAATCCTCATACTACAGATAGCTGCCACCAATATCTTCCCACAAAAGGGTTAATAAAATTTGATCAGTAGTTATTATTGCATTTGTGCAGAGATGACATAAAGTTTTCTAACTTAATGTCTAGAAAATATAAAACTATGCAAAATAGTTTTCTACTCCAACATAAAAATATATGTAGAGTTGTCCCCTGGTATCCTCAGGGGATTGGTTTCAGGACCCACACAGATACCAAACTTCAAACATGCTCAAGTCCCCCGGTTTGCCATCCCACATCTGTGGATTTTTGATCATGGGTGGTTAAATCCACAGATGTGGGAGTCGTAAATAGAAAGGGCTCACTGTATATAGAAAATACCAAAAAGTTTAGATTTATTTATCTGTTTATGTATCTTTATGTACAATTCATTTATAAATTTATTTCTGTTTTTTTTTTTTTTTTAACAAGAAGCCAGGATTCTTACAGCAGTTCCAGGACTACATGAATCTATATCTCCAGCCATCAGTCATAGGGAGCTTTTAATCAGTAAGGACTGAGTCACTAAGCAGCTACCTACGGTACAGCTGAGCCTGAGAATCTCATCCTTCTCCTACCCCTCACACCTACATAACTAATACATTTGTTGTTAAATTTTTATCTTTTGTGGGGTACTATGATGCCCCTTGAAATTGTTATCCAGCATCTTGCAAACATTTCAGTTGATGATAACTTCTACCTCTCCCTGCGTTGTTCTTGCTGATAAAGAACACCTGCCAACTGTTCTTCACTCTTGGCCCTGGCTTTGCAAGACTGTTATTAAGGGCTCCAGCCATCATCTCCAAACTCCCAATCAAGTCTCTCTCTGTATAGAATGTGTTGTTTTTCTACAAAGGAGCAATTTTTTTCATCAGCTTTGTGTGTGTGCATGTGTGTGTGTGTGTGTGTGTGTGTGTTTCCATCATTTCCACATCCTTTCAGTTCAAAGTCAAAGTCTTTTCAAAGCCTGCACTGCTCATAGCAACATGCCTACCTATCCTTGTTAAAACTTTGGTGCCAGGGTGTCATTGTGAAAAGAACAAGAACTTTGAAGACACCCACCGTCTTCTGTTACTTTCATTCTCTGTGCCTCCTCCATCTATTAATAAAGGTCATAAACCCACCAGGCAGGATTGATGTGAGAATGACATGAGCACACCTGTAATGAAATTGGAATTGCACTTCCAGCCTAGTAGATACTCTGCATATGGTAGCTGCTGTGCTTCATTCTTTACACACAAAATAATTTTTACTTTTCTACAAAGTACTTTCAGAGAATCTCCTTCCATACATTTGCCTTCCACTCAATAGGTTGAGTGAATATTTTCAACACAAGAAAATTATAAATGTTTGAAGTCATAAAGTGATAGATATGCTAATTATTTTGATTTGATAGTTGCGCATTCCATGTATTGAAATATTGCTCTGTACCCTACAAATATGTAACAAAATTTAAAAATCTAGGGTGAGTCAGGGAACCTGACAGTCCAAAATAGCCATGTTCATCATCATCATATTACTTTTTTTTTTCTTTTCTTGACTGTCTATAAAATTAAAATGCTGAGAGGATCCATAAGGATAGCTGGACCATAACAAATGAGCAGGTGCTCAGAGACCTGGTTAAAGTCTCAGTCCCTAGGTACCCCTGTGGATGAGTGAAGGAAATGCAATCCCAAAATACCCAAGACTGATACATTGATTGTTTCGAGTTGAAAACACTGGAGAAATTGTGGTTTCAGAAAAGGATAGTTGGCCTACCTCTTCCTATATGCAGCAAGCCATAAAGATTCCTCTGAGAGGGGTATCCTCCCTTTACCAGGGCAAGAAAATAGCTCTTGCCACCAGAGACTGGGAATTGGGGGCTGCAATGAACCTGAATAAATAAACTTAATGAGGCCAGGCACAGTGGATTATGCCTGTAATCCCAGCACTTTGGGAGGCCGAGGCAGATGGATCACTTGAGGCCAGGAGTTCAAGACCACCCTGGCCAATGTGGGAAGCTCCACCTCTACTAAAAAAAAAAAAATACAAAAATTAGCTGGGCATGGTGGTGGGTGCCTGTAATCCCAGCTACTTGGGAGGCTGAGGCACAAGAATCGCTTGAATTTTGGAGGTGGAAGTCGTAGTGAGTGGAGATCACACTATTGCACTCCAACCTGGGCAACAGGGCAAGACTCTGTTGCAATAAAATAAAATAAAATAAAATAATAAAAATGTAAAAATAAACTTAATGAAGTAACCCTTACTTTCCACTAGTTTTATACCCCCCATATATTCCCCTAGTGATTCTGCTAGAAAATTTACTGCTGGCAGCCAGATTTTCTTTGTTCTGTCACTCGTTTCTTAAATTTATTATTCTGTGTCTAACAAGTATAGAAGTGTCTTGCTTTGGCCATTTCTTCAGACTTTACTCTCTTGTGAAGATCCCCATGTACATGTAAAACTAATAAAATGTCTGTTCTTTTCTCTGATTAATCTGCCTGGTGTCCATTTGATCTCCAGATCCACAGAAGAGCTTCGGGGGGCTGCAGGTGATCTGTGACTTCTTGAAACCTGTCAGGGAATATTGGGTGGGGCAACATGTAACATCCTTTGCAGGACTTCCAAGTCTGTCTTCTTATATAGCCATCTTGATTATTTTAGCTCCAGCAGTCTGTGGCCTGGGAAGATAGTGTTAGCACAGTTTCCCGGAAGAGGAATTAAGTTACGGCACCTAAGGAAATCTGCAGAGTGTAGATACAAGAAGGAACAGGTGAGATGCCCAGAAAGAAAGACAGTAAGAGGAGTCTCTGCATTCTAAGCATAGGAAGGAGTGTGACTAAAATCAAGTCAAGAAACAACAAAAGCAACTGGATGTCGAGTGTTGATGAAGGTTAGAAAAATGTAGTGAAAGTAAATACAGAGAAGCTACAAGAGAAGACAAGAAGTGAAGCATCATAAGAATATTCTTGGCTCCTGCATCTCATTAACTACGTACTTATAAATTATATACTTTTAGAGTGCAAAGGGTATGTTGGCAGGTGCTTCTTTAGGTAATACTACCATAATTAGACATTAATACATGCTTGCAAATGAGAACTACAGTGAATTAGTAAAATTCACCCTCCTTTTTTGAGGTACAATATCTATTTTCATTTTATTTGATGAGAAGAGGATTGACCTTCTAACAATGCTTATTAAATGGTTTTAAGATTTTTGGTCAAATAGTAATCTAGAGATACTGAGATAATAATAGATATTATGTGTTCATTACAGGATCTCCAGAAAATACAGCTCCAAAGCAAGATAAATGCTTAGATGAAAAATCAGAAAGTTGGGGTGAATTTTCTCCTTCATTTAGGATGACAAGTTTAGCACTGAGCATATCCATGGCAAAAAAGCAACTGAATCAGTATTTGCTGAATCAATGAACAAGGACCTTTATTAGTAAATGACACATCAAAAATATTAAAAACCTAACACTGCATTAAAAAAAACAACCAGGGCCGGGCGCAGTGGCTCACGCCTGTAATCCCAGCACTTTGGGAGGCCGAGGCGGGTGGATCACGAGGTCAAGAGATCGAGACCTTCCCGGTCAACATGGTAAAACCCTGTCTCTACTAAAAATACAAAAAATAGCTGGGCATGGTGGCGCGTGCCTATAATCCCAGCTACTCGGGAGGCTGAGGCAGGAGAATTGCCTGAACCCAGGAGGCCGAGGTTGCAGTGAGCCGAGATTGCGCCATTG